GCATGTCCCACAGGGCCTCTGCGACCGTCACCATCATCGCCTTCTTCCCCGCCGACCTGCCCCTCTTGCCCGTGCACTCCACTCGTGTTGCGATCTTGATCATATCCGCCGTCACCTTGGGGTCCTTGTCGAACTCGGTCACTGCGACCATGCGCATCGCGGCAGAGAACAAGTTGAACAGCAGCGGGGCCAGGTTGCACCCCTGTCGGAGACCTTGGCCGACGTCAAACCATTCCGAGTACTGCCCGCCAGTGAGAATCGGGGTTGAGTACGGGGTCGAGGAAAGCAGTGCAAATCATTTGTATATTTGGAACGTTGTGTAGTATGCAAGCAGAGAAATAATGAGAAATTGCCGATTGATTTGAGAAATTCAGCAGGATTTGGCTGAACGAAAAAATAAGAAACTTGAAATAAGAAACTGAACGACATACGCTGAGTTTATAGCCCACAATAAGAATTCGAGGCTGGACCTGAAATAATAAGCGTTTCTTAACTGCGGGCGCCAACTGTATGGTGAGCGAAGCAAAGCAAATAAATACACAAATAAATCACGGGAAAACACGCAACATCATTCTTCTGACGATAATAAACTCGATTGGTGTGGAAAAGAGGGTTTCGTCCTCGACAGACGTTGGGGAGTTTCAACCTTTGGGACACGATATAACGACACCCGCCCAACAAGGTCAAGGACAAGGACAAGATCGAGGAAAATAGGGGGAAAGCACGAGAGAGAGGGAGAGGCCTAACCTGCAAGCAACATCGTACTGCTGTATGTACCCGCTACGACGGGCAATAACGCAAATCGCAACAGTAAATAATCTACAGCAGTTCCACCGATTGTCCCACATTTTTGGGGCGGGGTGATTTTTTTGAAAGGGTTGTCAAAAGAATTAATTGGGCGACAAACAAATGTATGTGCGTTCGAAAGCTCTCGCCAGCCAGTAGCTTTCGAATAAGCCTTTCAAAAGCGGTGGGTTCGCTCTGGATCAGGAGTTATGGACCTATTACCATCGCCAGCGAAGGTACTTTACTCCACTGAATCCTCCATATCTCGACAATTTCGGCGAACCCACCGAAAAGAATTGCAGATAATTGACGCTCTCTCTCCGTTCTATTTTATGGCCTGGGTTCCATTTCCGAACCTTTTTGACAACATGCCGGAATGCCGCAAAAAAATCAGAAACTAGATTTCTAAAAAAAATTGCCCACATCAGCCCCAACTGCTGAAAACAAAACAAGCTAGCGGTGCACGCACTGCACGCCCATGACCTCCATGCTTCACCCTGAGGCCCATGCGGCCATCAGGGAAGCCCTGACTAGGCGTGGTTCTACGTTGACCGGTGTGCGTCAAGTGAAGAGCCCGAAAATGTATCGTCTGCAGCTGACAGCAGACCTCGCGGATCCTCCCAGTGACTCCACCACATGCAAAGCAGGCAGCACGTGAAGGGGCTGGCCGACCGAAGGGAAGCTTCGGCCGGAAGAGGTTGCGTGCAACGATGGAAACATACCAGGCGTGTGGGGTAGATCCAAGTGGTGGGTCCGCAGGAACTGCAAATCAACTATCGCCTGCTTGTGAGAGAACGTTTCCAAGAGCTTCAGGGTGGACAACTTGAGCCTAGACATCGTTCAAAAGTTCTGCCGGAAGGTGGCCAACTTCCACGCGGTGTACGACGCAGGGCTTACGGGCGCCGAGGCGGTAGAGGCGCAAGAGAAATGCAAATCGCACCGTAAGCCGGCTCCATCTGAATACATTAATCCCAAGTAACGTATGCTAAGAGTGGGTACGTTGTGTATGGGGTTCGAAAGAATGACCTCAACTTCTGTTTCTGTCGGTGTCGGGTTGTCCACGAAGTTTGTTGTCCGTTTTTTTTCAACCGGCTGCGTTTCCCTCCCGGTCGATAAGATCGGTAGTATTTTGACAATCGTAAAAAGTAGTGCCAGGGAGTGTTATCAGTGTAAATACAGGGTTTTCCCAACGATGAAGCGAAAACAACGAAATGTCAAACGTTAAACGATAAGTTTTGCGACCAGAACATGGGGTAAAATCTCTTGTGCCCCCCTTCAAATGTGTATTTCTACTAGTTACGTGTGTTTTTCTTTTTTCTGAGGGCGCCATCGCGTTCGCCTGCTCAAACCCCGCCGATATCAACCAAGAACAAAACAAAAACTGGCATGATTACGATAGTGGTTATCGAGATATTGGACGAACAGTTTCATCCCCTCCCTCCCAAAAACGCCTGGAAAAACGTGTACGAAAACCACGGATTCTCAGAAACGTCTCAAATCGATTTGGTCCCTGAACAACTCTTGTGGCATTTGTAATGGAGATCAATACTAAAAAAAAGAAAGAAAATACCTATTATTGATGGAGTTATGGTCGGTCAACTGAAATCGGCGGGACAATCGGTGGAACTGTAGGCTGCGCAATCGATAGAACTGCATGATAGGGCTGCGGCGGGGGGTCAAACACAGACCTATCATCCGCCGGACCCCCCTCCCTCCTTCTCCTCAGCGGCGGTTTCTCGGCCAGGACTGCAAAGCCACCGGGACAAAAACTTCCTTCCAGTCGGCACTACACGGCTTAGCGCCAAATCTGTTCGTCGCGAGCAGCAAGCACATAAATGCTCGCACGAGCACAGATACTCCCTCTGTTCAAAAAACGCCCCAACGGGGCAACCAAAGCCCTGCTGCCCAAACAAAAAGACTTCCCCGTCTCGCCACAAGCAAGCTCGCTCCATTTCCCTGCTTCTGGCATTTATGTTGGTGTGCGTAAGTCTCTCGCGCTTCCCACCAGCGAGTGCTTCGGCCAGCTTCTTTCCTATCGGTCTCGCCTTCCTACAGCTTAGCACACGCCACATCTGCAGTGAACCCGGCCGGCCGGACGTGTCTTATCCCTTCGCGTGGCAACAACCAGCCCATCACAAAAAATACATTATCAGAACCATCACCCACGACAATAACAAAAACACGCGCAGGGGGCGGAGCGTGGTTCGGTCTCTCCCAAGACACCCCACCCCCCCCAAGAGCTCTTCCCTCTTTCTCCTTACCAACTGTAACAACCCACCCTAATCAACACAACCGACCAGAAAACCATAACAAAATCGACATCACTTTTTGCTTGCCTGACGAGGGCGATGTCTACAGCTTGAACATCGAGACCATCCATTCTAGGTGCGTGTCCTTCTCACCCGTACTCCCTCCCATACCGTGCCTAACGAGGCCGATGTCTACTGCTTGAAGACCAAGACCATCCATTCTAGGTGCGTGTCCTTACCCCTTACTCCCATATCGTGCCTAACGAGGCTGATGTCTGTAGCTTGAAGACCGAGACGGAGTAGTCGTAGAGGAGCATATCGGTCGCCATGACGCGGTGTATCTCAGGGCTCATGTGAGCCCATCGGTGGACCTAGACATCATCGTGGGGAAAAAATAAAACAGACGAGAACAAGACGAAACCGTCAGAAAAAATGCCATGGACAAACAAACCCATCCTGATGTAAACATAGCAGCTGCTGGCACGTAGACTCATGAACGGTGGAACCGTCAGAATCCCATGAAACGCTGAAAACCCCATCATGACGGCATTAACAACACACAATAAATGGGTGAGTGGGTGTGTTTCGTGTGTTTTGTTCTGTGCTCTTTTGTTTTTCAAGTTTTGGGGGCGCCATGATCGATACAAATAGCAGTGCTGATTCGTGTGTTGCTCTTGCTTGTTGCCAATTCAAGCAATTCGAGACTGTCACTGTAGACGTGTTCGCCGGGGTATAGCACGAACTACTGCTGTATCGCACGAACAACTGACTCACGCAACAAACTGCAGGCCTTGTATCCATCCTTTAGAGACTTCCTTTCACCTTTTCACATCCTGTACTGCTGTATTGATTCAAATGGTATTTTTGCGCGGCCGCTGCTAACCCGTTATTTGCTCGGAAACAACTACTTTGCGCATGATTCTGCCGAACAGTGATTATCCAGACTCAAATATTTGCACCGCATTTCCATGCCGAAAGTAGTTGTCTGGAAACAGATATTTGCACACGATTCTGAACAAGTATTTGTCAAACCACACAAACGGCATGTGGAGAATTTGTACCGGGTGTCCACCTTTTCCTCGACAAAACATGCCATGCTTCACTTGCCCCCCTATCCCTGAGCAGGACGGATACCATAGGGTAGAGCAAGTGCCACGGTTCAAACGTGGTGAGAAAGGGTATCTAGGATTCAGGATGAAGGTCAAGTTTTCCTCCTCAATCAAGTTTAACGTACGTAAGGCAGCTTTCGCCTCGGACAGCTAGTTGCCGCGGACCAACCTCCCTCCTGAGAATTGCAACATTTTCGTATTGGAAACATGTACTAATATCATACCAGGTTGGTAAAATAGTAGATACTGCTGTAGCCAGTAGCAGCTTCCTGTACAGTATAACGGGGCATAGTAGTGCCAAGGGCTTAGAGTTCTAGAGTAGTTAAGGTGAGGTTAGGGTTGGTGAGTAGGGTTAGGGTTAGGTTTGAGTCAGGGTCTACCTCGTCGCGCAATCCGGATCGCTGCCCCCTGTTGGAATGCTCCATGTCCTCCCAATCCCATACGGGTGATGTCACTCGGGCATTGAAGAGCTGCATCGACAGGTCCCAGTACTCGAGGATACCCACAGCCGTGTAAGTGGCCAAGATAGCCTGTTCGTGAATCGATTTGTTGACGCGAATGGTGAAGTACATAAGAACAACTGAGGGACAGGGTTAAGAGGTGTAGGTGGCCAGGATGGCTACTTCGTCAACCGATTTGTTGACGCGAGTGATACATACGAACATTCGAGAACAGAACACAGGGTCAGCACCTTTACGGTATGAGCGTCGAGGGGTTTCCGCTTCGAAGATCCTCCGTTGTCTGCGCGTCAGCAAAGAAATGAGCATATGAAAGAAAGACCAACGACCAAACATTTTTTGTGGGACAGGGTCTCTGAATCTGAGTGCTTCACAAGTCGACGGACGTTTTTTTCCTCCCATCGAAATGGCTTCAACCCCGGCACGAGTGTACGAAACGATAACGACGGGGCCGCCTTCGCGAGATTAAGAAGTTTATGAAGAAAAAGAACATGGAGGGGGGACGCATACCCTATTCCCTAGGCCTAACCCAACTTCCAACATCTTGACTTAATCGAAAAACCCTGAGAAGGCGAATAAAATCACGGCACGGGGGATGGGGGGGGGGGGGGGGGGCCCCCCCCCCCCCCCCCCTC